CCTGCTGTGGGTATTGATTTGGAAATTCTCTCCAGATCTCCCCACCTACTTCCTCCACCTCCCATTATAAGCACATAAGTTAGCTCTCCACTAATTTTTAATTTAATTTTATTGTAAAGATGCTGTACAGAGGGGATACAGTCACATGAGTAAGGTAATGAGTACATTTCTTGTTTTGAATTGTTACTCCCTCCTTTGTTGTTTTCCCACTATCCCTTTCCTCCTCCACCTCCCACGCTCCTCTCCCCCCCCCCCAAGTTGTAAAGTTCATTTCCCAATATAGTGTTTTGGGGGTATCAATGTTGCAATGTTTCATCCTGTGTCCTAGTTTCAGCATTTTGTTATTCCCCTTCCCCTCCTCAAATTGGACAAATGTATATAAAAGATGGGGTTGAAAGGGCATTATGGCTCAAGTGGTATTGTGCTCGCCTTGAGCTGAGGGACAGAGCCCAGGCCCAGAGTTCAAGCCCTAGGACTGACAAAAAAAGATGCAGGGTACCAATATCAAGTACAATAACAACAGGAGATATACCATAGGGGGAAGAACATACAAAGGAAACAAAAGAATCTCAGTACATTAAAAACAACAGCAACAAAGAAAAACCTCTTGTGTCCATATCTTGGAGTTTGTTTCACTTAGCATCATCTTATATGATCATATGTACATAGCTTTTGAGCTTTTCTGCTCATCTGATAAAATTATACTAGATTTATACTAATTATTGCATATGCACAATGGAATTCTCTGCTTCCATCAGAAAAAATAACATTGTTCCATTCATAAGGAAATGGAAAGACTTAGAAAAAAATTATATTAAGTGAAGTAAGCCAGACCCAAAGAAAGGCAAGTCACATGATCTCCCTCATCTCTAAGAACTAAAATATGTAGAAGATACTATAAACAGGGGATCTCAAGATCCCAAATGTTTAGTGCAAAGGACTGTATATAATGAAGCATATTAACATGAACTCCAACTTTTGGGGGAAAAAAAAGACTTTCATTAGACCCTCTATACAGTTCTTTTTCTCCACTACTTCAGATGCCATTTACGACAGCATCATTTTTCTGTCCTCATGGAATCTCTCTATGTGAGGAGGGAGTTTATTAACCAAAAGATTAATTTCAAGTTAAATTGCAAGCTAAATTTCTCCCTTCAAGTTCAGTCCTCCTCACAGAATTCTAGAATATGCTGAAATGCCTGTAAATAAAGGAGAACCATCCAAACCTTTGTTATTGCTGAATGTGGAGGCAGACATTGGAATCCATCATCTCTGGGGCTGCTTTCGATTCCGGCATTCCTTTACATCTACTGTGCCTACTTTAAGCAATGACCTTGAACTTCCAAAGACAAACTAGTCAGGCTGTCCTGAGTGGGAACTGCCCAATTAAGCCTTTGTCTTGACTCTAACCTGCCATAACTATCTGAGACTCTGAAATAACTCTTTTCCATAGTGATGAACTCTATAAACCTAGGAAAGACCTGAAGCAATTTTCCATGTTCTGATCCAGGACTATTGACTGATTTGGATTCTACTTTTCTTTTTAACACTTAGTCATCCTACAAGTCATTAAAGCATGCATTGTAAAGTATAAATGTCCCCTTCACATCCCAGTGGGATAGACTCATATGTTGAATCTTGCACAGCTCACAGCTCAGGAACCCATTCACATAGACCCTAATAGTAATGATGTTCCAGAAAGTATGATGTAGTGTCCCTGCACCTGGGACATGGGAGCCTTGATGCTTTCTAGTGCCCCAGTCTGCTGCTAACAACCTTGGGTTCAGGAGCCACATTGGATTTCCTTTTCTATGCTATTTGTGGCCTTGGACAAGTCACATAATATTTCTATAACTTTATTTCCTCTTCTGTAAAATATAGGAGATGTCTGCATCTCACAGACATGTGGGATTGACTGAATTTATTCACCTAAACCTTGAGGCACATCATCTGACACTGACTAACCTCTCAAATACTCACAGCCATTGGCTATATTTATGATTCTATCCGAACTATTCTTTCCTCCTTGCTTTTCCAAAGCCATAAAAAAAGATCACAGTCAGAATTTCTTTTTCTGCTGTTACTCCCCCCACAAGGCAGGGAAGTAAATGCTGTGGTAGGAAGATTATCAAATTAAGTATCAGTACGTCTGGATTGAAATTATGATCTTCTGAATTCAAATGCTCTTACCAGTGCTATGATCTTCAAGTCACTGAACATTCTCTCTCTCTCTCTCTCTCTCTCTCTCTCTCTCTCTCTCTCTCTCCTCTCCTGTGTGTGTGTGTGTGTGTGTGTTTATTAGGATTAAATAACACATGTATTTGTTGGCTAGTAATGGAAAGACTAAAAGCAATTAGATGTCTTAATGTTGGTTCAATCTGTGTTATCCATTTATTGGAATATCAATTTTTCTATCCTGTTGCCTATAAAATAGCAGTGACACTTCTCATCTTTCTGTAACTCCTCTGGCATCTTGGGATTTTTTGTTGTTGTTTTTAGACAAGTTCTCAACAACACTACTATGATAACTAATTGAGAGTAACCCTGGACTTGCAATTCTCCTGCTTCCTGAGTTGCGAGATTGTAGAAATGAGCCACTAGGCTCAGGATGTATTTTACTGACAAGAAATCCCACCTGTCTGTCCACCCACTGACAATTCCTGCAACCTACGCTGACTCAGTGACTTGCTTTCTGGTCTACAGGTGAATATTGACCACTTCACTAAGGACATCACAATGAAGAGCCTGGTGGAACCTTCCCTGAGCAGCTTTGATGTGGCCCAGAAAAGAATCCATGCTCTGATGGAGAAGGATTCTCTGCCACGCTTCGTGCGTTCTGAGTTTTATCAGGAGTTAATCAAGTAGTAATTTGATCTGTCTATGAAAAACATTCCATGAGTTCTGCTTTCCATAACAACACTGAATTATCCAATCACATGCACATCTAGCTTTCCATAGCAGCTTTGCTCAAAGATACCCACACAGAGAATTCCAGGGAGTGCCCATTACTCTTTTGCCTACATCAGTCTGGATGTGGATCTGTTGTCTGAAGGCCTTTCATTCTTCCTGCCCTATTCGATTGAGCTCTACCCAGTTTCTGTCAGTCTTCATTCATCACAGAAAAATCTTGCCTAACACAAAGCTATCTCAGAGAAGAATATGGTACAATCAAGTGTAGGGAAAGATTATTGCCACCTAAACTAGCCTGAAATAAAAGAGAATATAGTTAAAAGACCAATTTCAAAGGAACACGATTGATTGTTTTAATCCTGACTGAAAGAGATTACTCCTCTAATAATTTCTGAATTTTTACAAGTCATAAGCTTTTTATGAGATAACCATTTGATTTTCTAATAGAGCTTTCTCCAAAATCATCTTTATGTTAATTGCAAATGATGTGATACATAAGGTATACAAATATGAATATCTTGTTTATATAAAATCAACCTAAAATAATTTATATTAATCTTGACCTTATATCTCCCTCACTGGTCTCTCTATAAATTGTTTTTGAAATTGGTGACCTAAGATCAACAATGAATTATTATATAAAAATATCTATGTAACTGAGATGCAGGCCAAAATTTAATTTCCAAATGATTTGAAATCGTTCCGAGTGTACAATTAATCCCCAAATTTCTGACTCTAATCATATAAAATAAAACTGTTGCCATGCTTTGGAGTGGCCTATTATCTCAATATCAAAAGGGCAATGCACTAAAAAGGGAAAAATAATCTCAACATTAATTATAATTAATTATCTTATGATGCCATCTGTTTCTTTAGTAATGATGATTATATTCAAATACCAAATTGTCTTTGAAAAAAGGTGACTATGTGAAAGCTTTCTAAATGAGACAGCTTTCAAATATCCTGCAGTTTGCAAAATAATAGAACCTTTTTGCAACCAGACTTCCTTCACTCTCCTGCTTTCTGAATTAGTAACTTTTAATTATAGTCAGAAGTTCAGATTCACACTCCCAACATGCCTCATACAGCGAAGTGATAGGCTATGGTATTTTTAATAGATTTAAGCTTATAGTTCTCTATTTCATTATTACAAGTCTTGCTAAAATCTTTTTTCATAGATTTTATGAAGTAATAATTCACATAATTTAGTAAGAAATATAAGTAAACGGAACCATATAAGGATAGTTAAATTGAGGGCATTGAGTTGATTTTTAAGAAGGAAAGTGTTTTGAACAGGACTAATAAAATCCTTAAATGGTTAAGTAGATTACATTGTTTAATATTATATTTGCTCTTTTTCCTTTTTCATTCACAGACTCTTAGTTTCCCACCACGTGTATCGCATTTATTCACTTATTTCCTAAGAATATTGAAAGCTAAGTGACTTTGTTATTCTTTTCTTTGGGCAAACACTGTGGATGTTGGTAAGGCTTTTGGGGTTTCAAAGGATATTTTATCTGAATTATTGACATTTCACATTCTCAATATGAATTAAAGTGACAGAATATACCACAAAGTTACAAGTGATAGGAATTCATTTATGTCAATATTGTCATTTATACTTCCAGTATTGTAGAGGAGCTCTTCATGTATCAATATATGCGATATATGAGCTCAACACTGCGGGCATGGAGAAGTTCTCATTATGTGCTCTTGTGTGGGATTGACAAGGCACTCAGATGAAAAGTCCCAGCAGGTATTCTGACATTCTTCCTCAGGAGCTAGCCATTCTGTACCAAGTAAACAAAAAGTCTCAGACCTTGAAGTCTCTTAATCTAGGAAGTTCATTTCTCCTTGAATGCCATACATTGTTAAGAAAAATTAATGTAGTTAAAAGTTTAAATTTTTTTTTTTTGGTCAGTTGTGGGGTTTGAACTCTGGGCTTGGGCACTGTCCCTGCGTTTTTCAGCTCAAGGCAAGTGCTCTACCACTTAAGGCATAGCACCACTTCCAGTTTTCTAGTGGTTTATTGGAGATAAGAGTCTCACGGATTTTCTTGCCCAGGCTGGCTTTGAACTGCAGTCCTCAGATCTCAGCCTCCTGAGTAGCTAGGATTACAGGCATGAGCCACCGGTGCCCGGCTTCAAATATTTTTTATGTTATACAAACTAGCCAAATTTTGGAATTGTTCATGGAATTAACTAGGTGTCACAACTTTCACTCAGATGCTTTCTCTAATTGACTATATTTGAAAACTGACTGTGCATCTTTTATGGGAGGCTGAAGTGTAAATGGAGGATGAAGAGAGCCTTTGCTGAACCCAGAGGAAAAGGGCAGGAAGGGCATCTCAAACTAGGGTTGTAAAGCTTCAACAGTGGAAATAAGGGAAATCCTGAAGCCAAATGGTCACATTGTACCCACACATCTATTTATAGCTATAAGTATTTTACAGTTAAACAGCTCTATATATACCTCCATGTATATTCTTCTATTATATAAAATAATAAAATGAGCATAAATATTCTAGACCCAAATGAGAAGCCATATGTATGAAAATTGCCCTAGAAATTCTTTTGGGAAAGCTCTTTGAAACATAAATAATACAGAGCTATTTTAAAAACAGCAAGAAAGAAAGAAAAGTAAAAGCAACACTTCTATGTTGGTAGTAGTTTCTATGGTTACTTGAAGAAAATATATTCCTTTTAATCTTGGAAATTAGAAAACATGAGATGTTCTTTCCAGGAAAAAAATGGGTAACCTCTATCTATCATTTCTCTCCTTCCTCTCCTTCCTCTCTACTTTTACTTGAATAAATTGCCTGGGAAAAATGAAGGCTCACGTTAGAGACCTGTGTTTGCTTTTTCCCCCTTATGAACAAGGAACTATAGTCATAGTGGATTTGGGATGTAGGAACATGTTAGAACCAAGTTTTGGTCAGTGGAAAAAGAAGTATTTGTTTTTGTTCTTGAGAGAGACCTATGATTAGCCTAGGTATTATCTCCTAACTAAGTTTTATTGCTTGGGGTTAGGGTCTGGGCAAAAAGACAGACTATCAGTTCCAGAGTAACTAGGAAACTATGTTCATGTTTGTTTAAAAGCAGTGGTGGGTCATGTGAAGAGCCCTCCATCCTTCCCTTCTTCCTCCTCTGATACTTATACATTCCATCATAAATTATATGATTTGAGGATCATCTGAAAGGCTAGTTATATTTAAGCTAAATGACCTTTACTCCTGAAACTATTCCCATTAGTAAGCCATTTTCCCTATTCTTTGAGAATCTTGATTGTTTGGGAAAGGATGGGTCATGAGATAAAAGACAAGAAAGCAGAAGAAGGAAGTTGTAAAGAAGTACCCAGACTTGTGAAATTAGTCCACTGGCTAAGAAAGATTTAAGAGACGCTCACTTTAACTAAAAATCCAACTGCTTGTTGCTGTCATTTTCCATCATTGCAGGGAGGCATTTCTTTACCCACCATGTAGCTATACAAGAAAGCCCATTTTAACACCCTAGAGAAATTTAACTAGAAGAAAAAAATGTGGAGAATCTCCTAATACCATTTGTCTTGTATGTGCCAGAAGGCAATTAGTAGAGAACCCAATTTCTAAAATACTCAATCATTCAAACCTAAGAGCAAGACAATTCTATGTTGGCTTTGGATATAAGGTTTTGGTATATCTTGATCTATGAGACCACTCTGGCTTATTATTGATGTGAAAAGCACAGAGTTAACATTTGCTTAGGGCAAAGCTCTTTAGTTAACAACTTAGCAACAGCTTCTTATGTTAAACATACTTTTTTTTTCTTTTTTAACAAATCATCTGTCAAACCAAAGCAATTGATATCCAAAGAAATACTTTCCCCTAAACAATTCTGGAACTAAAAGTTCAACTCTTTCTATTTAGAAGACATCTGAGACTTTGAATGGAAACCCATATCATAGCATGATAATATTTGGAGTACTATCTTCAGCCCATAGGTTAAAAATAATCTTATATTTTCTAGTAGAAAAACTATAATACAACCTTATTAATATCTGTTTGACTAAACCTATGGCAAGTTACTTACTCTCTCATTAGTTACTTACTCTCTCATTAGTGATATTCTCCTCCCCACATATCCCCTGTACTTTCTTTTCCTTTTTTCTCTGTAACAGGAAATATTTAAAATAGTTAAGTCTAATCAACGTTACTTGATAGTGGATACATTAAAAGCATTTAACTTCCTGTCTAAGAAAATATACAGGCCAATGCAGACAAGACAAAGGAAAACACTGAGAAACATGTTACCAGAGATGAGTAACAAGCATAATATTTGCAAAACTTCATTTTATGTCATATAGTGCCTGGATATGAGGGAACTAAAGTTTGAGGATTTTTTAAAATACTGCAATTTGAAAATCAACATCAGGAGATAAAGTCAGGAGGATGGAGTAGAAGTAAAAGTTTGAGCAAGCCATTTTGTCATCATTATACCTATAAGCTTTAAATTCTGGAACAATTGTGTTTATCTTCTGTTTTTTTAAACCCATTATTTTATGAACAACTCTTGTTTCTTGGTAAATAAATCACCATATATATACATATATATATATATAATCTGTAGCCATAATCACAATGTCATATTAAATATATATGCCTGTAATAGCCTTGTGTGTGTCATTTTTGACTCCTGAGCATTCTTTTATGCATTCTTCCTCAAGAAAGATTTGTTTGCTCACCAGGTTTCTAATGGCAGAGGAGCCCTTGATCAATGGAGCGGTCCTTGTCAGTAAGGGTCCACTATAACCCATCCTAATATGCAAAACTCAGAAAAAAATGCCAAGTGCCCTGTTTTCCTATGCTCTGGTGACTCCTGTCTCTCAAGTACCAATGGCAATCACTTACTGATTTAGGTGCTATCACCATTAGAAATTGACTATGTACATCATATTCATTGAATGCTACAATATTTGATGAATGCAGTGCTTTCTTTTTTTCCTGCACTGGTTAAAAATATGAAATCCAGCTGTCACTATAAGAAGCTAGGACCTTAAAATTCATGCTAAAATAGTTTATGTAGAGCATTAGGGTCACATAATGAGGAGGATTGGAGCTAGGGGAGAAAGCTTGTATACAAAGAATAAAAAGCCCATATAGGATCAGATTATAGAAATAAGTAATAATTGGAATCCATGTGGAAAGAGAGAGAAGAGAGGAGAAAAGAGGAAAGAGAAGAGAAAGAGAGAAAAGAGAGGAGAGTAGAACATAGGAGGATGGAAGTAGAGGAGAGGAAGACAGGGAAAGGCAGGGGAGAAGGAATGGAAGAGGGGAGAGGAGCCAAGATAGAGCAGAGACAAAGAAAATTCAACACGGACATTCACGAGGACCTTTCTTAGTCTTTGACAAGTATTTTAATTTTCATTCCTATTCCTCATGCAGAATCATTTCAACCTTCTCTCCTCTTCATTTCAATGATCTTGGATGAGCTTTTGAGAGTTTCCACCCAGAAGTATTACTGGAACAAAGATAACAGACTTCTCTCTCTCCCCAAGAATAAGTGTGATATTCTCAAGATCAATATGAAAATTAGTGACAGAACAGAGCTTGTAAATCAGGTTGCTTCTCAAATTCCTGTTTGGTTCACTACAGCAGAGAACTTGTAGGACAGTTGGGTAATTTGGCTCTAAGATCACTATAACTGGGTTCAAAGTTGGAACCCAGTTCTATTATGTGTCCAAGTCAGGATAGCCACACTCTCCAAACCATAAGATCTCCAAAGAATATCTAAGTTAATAATTTCTGAATCATTAGTGTCTTGAAAAAAGTTTGCCTATAATAAATACCTTAAAAATACATTAATTTTCTCAGGTAGCTTCTAAGTGAGTCCAATTTACTCAACATTTGATTTAGTCTCATCTGGAAAATGTTCTTCTCATTTTCTCTTTGGTCAAATCCTGCCTTCTTATACTTCAGCTTGTTTTTTTTTTTAATTTTAATTTTAATTTTTTGTGAACATACTGTACAGAGGGTTCAGCTTGTTTAAACAATAACAGATGTCACAATATTCAATGTATGTCCTAGGAAACTAGAAAAACTGAGGAGAGGGGCATGATTAGGAGGGATGGAAGTACAATGGAAGTGGTGATATTGATCAAGATACATTGTTTTCATAAATAGACATGTTGAATTGTAACCCCTTTGGAAAACTACTTAAAGATAATGAAAATATAATTTAAAAATAAAAAATAAAAAGCAAAGCCTATGAGAAGGCAGTCTAGGCTCAGCCTTTGGCAGCTAGACCTCATAGCCAACAAGGACTCTGCTATTAAGGTCACATTTCCCCATTGCTCCCATAAAGGAGGTTTGCAGTTGATGATGGTAAGCCAACAGGGCAAGGATGCCCACGCTTAAGAAGTGGTGCCTGTCATTGCCACAGGAAGGAACAACATGTGACAGGTGAGAAATAGATGCCCGCCTCAATTTGTGCTGCTAAATGCCTGAAGCCTCTTTGCTTCTAAGCAGAATTCTTGGAAAACATAAAAGACACTTAAAAAGGAATTAGAGCCCCGGAGGTTTTAATGAATGAGGATGTGTGGAGATTGATGTTCCCTTATTTCTTTTCACTGAACATTTATTTTGACTGCTTCTTCATTTAGTAACTAAAGCCCTAACCTATTTGAGTTTCTCTAACATTTTGAATGGCAATGAGTGGGTAGAAAATAAAGAGAATAAAAACCCAAGTTCAGTAAAATGTAGGCACTGTAGCTGACTTTACAAACATTCTCACATGGCTAGCATGGGTACTTATTCTTCCTCCCTCTGCAAAGTTTTACTTCAGCTGGGATGTCAGTCTCTGATGGGACAGCAACTGAGACACCTATTTGCCTGTCCAGGTCTCTCAGCCAAATTACCCCTGTGATCAGCCATATCACATATAAGAAATAAACCCAGTCATCTTCATGACTCCATTCCATGTCAAAGAAGAAACTGAGGTCCACAGAGGTCTAACTATTCACTTACAGATACACATCTGGATAATGATTCTGTATGGTTCCTTGTGTGGATAGTTTTATCTTAAAATTGGTGTTCTACCAACATTAATGTATGTATTTCATAATAATAGATGTTCTTAAAGTTGATATTATAGAGCTACTACATATTAGTGCATTTTGGCTCAGATAAAATGCTGCATCTTGAAAATAGAATTTCTCTCCTTTTGTGGTGATAATTTTCCTAGCTGGATATCCTTTTGGGTGAGCAACTCACTCCCCTGAATATAAAATATGATGTTAGAAGATTATCAGCCATTCATATTTTAAAATAAGCATCTCCAATAGAATTGTGCATATGGCTTATTTTTCTTAAATTCTCCCTGAAGACAGCAGAGGAATAGTGTTCACTGACTGAGAGGAAGATTGTTTTGATTGAAGGAGAGTGAGATCTACCTATTATTATATTTTGATGGTTAGTAATCCATATGTGTTATACAGGATTCCATTCTCTCTTGAATAGTATGGTGGTCAGTGTTTGGCTGTTGCTTTACTCTTTACCTGGATATGAAGAACTGGCAAACCTCTCATGCTGTTTCCCATGTTACCAACTGCACAGTACCATTTTCAGTTCACCTTGGCAAAACATGGCCCATCACTTAAGCCCCAAATCTCACAGGAAGAGCAACACATACAATCCTCAACAGCTTTTTGTAACAAGAAGGAAAATAATGTAGGGTAGCCGATCATATTTTCCTTCTGTTTAAAATATGCTGGCTGTTTATTGTTGGTAGCCCCCATAAGCTTCAGACCCAGGAGCCAGAAATATTTGTACATGAATGGGTGGGTATCCTTTCCCATCAACTGACTCAATAATACATGCTCATGTATTTAGACTCACCCAGTTATTGTTAATAGCAAAACACAGATTCACTCAAGTATTTCCTGAATTTCTCTGAGCTTGTCATTTCAAAACTTTTTAAAAAAATTATTTTACTAGTAATTTTTATTTCTACAATTAACCTTTTATTTACATTTTGAAACAGCATTTTTATTATTATTAAGTAGTTTTACATAGGAGTTGCCATTCACCAAAGTAATTTATGAATACAGTGCAGCTCAATCTGTGTGACCTCTTTCAACATTCTCACCCACCCCTCCCAATCTAACCTCCCAATCTAACAAACAACTTATGTGTACCATGCATCTTGATCTGTCACGACTTCAACATTATCACTTCCCTTCTACCCACCCATGCCCTTGTATTTCTCTATTCTGTGGTACATATAATGAATTCTTCCCTGCATTCTAACTCCTTCCTTCTTCATTCTTCTTTCCCCTTGTCTCCATCCTCCCACCTTGAAACATCCATTTCCTGGTACTTCTTTCCTTGGGCTTTGACTTAGTCTTTAAAAAGAGTCACACTATTTGTGCTTCCCATGGAGTTTATTGCACTTCTGTTCCTTCATTTGTAGCCCCTTGATTATCACCCAATGTATTTACTGGTAGATTTATAGGCACATTCTAGCTACCACAAATGAGGCAAAACATGCAACTAGTGTTTCTCTGGGCCTGACTTACTTCACTTAATAGAATTTTTTCCTAAGTGTTCCCATTTCCTTACAAATGGCACAATATCATTGTTTTAAATGAATTGATAATGATATTGTGGCTATTCTATTATGGATCTCCTCAAAATTCACTCAGAAATTCACAACCCCAGTGAATAGCATCCTGCATCCTCAGCACCATACATGAAATTCTGTAAACCAGCCAGGCATAAGCAACTTTCCCAGAGAGCTCTGAACACACCTTACTTTCTCAGGTATTAAAGGTCTTGAGCAGAGAAACTCCATTTATTGAGCTTCCTCTATTTTACTTAGGTAACATCAACAATTTTTTTTAAAGAATTGGCATGTGGATGGGAAGGATAGAAGGAGTGACATCTATCAAGATACATTGTACTCCTAATCTGATTTGTTGAATTGAAACCCCTTTGTACAAAGGGGTTTCCCAACGAAACTTCCTTCACCTCCATTAAACCACATCTAACATTGAGCCAGGTTGGATGACATTTCTCTAGAGTGTTGTGATTCCACCAAAACTATGCCTCTACTTTTTTTAGATTCATTGTATAGAGCACTTAAGGGAATTGTCTCTGAGAACAGCATTAGAAAAACAAAGATTTGTTATTTTAACTTTAGAAAAGAATTCAGAATATGAAAATGATCAGTTACTACCCTCTTCCTAAATTCCTGGGAAGATAGGCCAAGAACATAAACTAAAATAACTGTGGGTTCTAGCTATACCACCAGCAGACAGCATTCCCCCAACACCCTGGTGTCATTCTGTGTGATGAAAGTACTGTCAGAGATATAATAAGGCTGTCTGTCACCACAGTAGATCAGAGACTATTGGGACCATCAATAAGCTCAGAACTCCCCAAGAGTAAGAATATAATCATCTCCTCCATCTCCTTCAAAGCTGTGTTGTGAGTTTAATTTCCTTGACTCTGTGACTGTGCTCCTTTTCTGGGTAAGTAGGTCAGACACCTGTCTCTGAACATCTCCAGCCAATTTGCTAACCATAAAAGAAAAGAGACAGAAAATAAATGGATTCTTCCCGATAATTTTATGGCAAGTAGCTGTTGCGACTTTTCACTCTAATGGTATTTCTGTTTCCCTTTAGGGGGTGAGTGTGCTAAGAGGCTAATCTCATGCACTTCCTTCCATATTTTGTTCCTCTAAAAAGGTTTAATAACATTTGGGGATTGTGTGACTTCCTTGTCTAGTCTTATAGAATGACTAACTATAAGTACAGGAAGTCAAACAGCATATTTTTTTAGCTTGTATGAAGAGCTTTCTATTTTTATTAATCAGTGGTCTGCAGATGCGAATAAACGCAATTGAACTCCAAATGAAAGCATTTATTCAGATTCTAGCTCTTCATGACAAGCAAATGCTAAAAAGAAGTCAATGATCCAGATGCTATAGTTTGATAAAAATGAAACCGGTGGCTCTTTGAACTCTAAGTGCAGACATCTAAAAATGGTGCACAAGTAATAGGGCTTGGTGGAGGGCATTTTTTATGTACAACTTTCATGTCATTCAACTTGACTCAGTGCCATGTGGCTGGAGTCACTCAACTTGTAGGCTAGGTTCTTTCTCCCTATGACCTTAAGCAGCTGAAATACCTACCTCAGCCTCTTTTTTCTCATTTGCAACATTTAGGGATACCTTGATATTCTATAACCCAGAAAGGCAATGTCAAATTAAAAAAACACATAAACTATAAAAAGTGGCTTTGTAGCCGGGCGCTGGTGGCTCACTCCTGTAATCCTAGCTACTCAGGAGGCTGAGATCTGAGGATCACGGTTCAAAGCCAGCCCGGGTAGGAAAGACTGTGGGACTCCTATCTCCAATAAACCACCAGAAAACCAGAAGTGGCGCTGTAGCTCAAGTGGTAGAGTGCTCGCCTTGAGCTGAAGAGCTGAAGGACAGCGCAAAGGCCCAGAGTTCAAGCCCCACGACCGACAAAAAAAAAAAAAAGTGGCTTTGTAACCTGTAAAATAAAACTGCTTTCTCAGATCTCCATCCAGAGCAGTTTCCGTCTTCTTATATTACTCTTCTATGACTCATTAGAGCTTAATCAGAGAAAGAAGGTACTACTTTCAGTATTACCAAGAAGGAGAGTGATAACATGTTATCATTTCTATCCCATTTCCCCTTCCTTCCAGAAAGTTCCCTGTGTCCTGAGTACATGCAACATCATCTCATTGCCTCATATTGTGAACTTAAACTGGTTGACCAGATGTCTGCTTGAGATATTTTGGCTTCATTAACCTAAGTCTATTCAAGGACTGTGATATTTATCCTTGTTTCATTTTGACTTACTTTATTTCACTTGATTATCATCATAAGTTGATGAGAGAGATGTTATAAATTGATGAGATGGGGAGGTAGGATGGAAAAATGTTTATTTTATACTTAAAAAAATCTGATATTCAAGGGCTGGGAAGTTGGCTCAGTGGTAGAGCGCTTGCCTTGCATGCTCGAGGCCCTGGGTTCAATTCCTCAGCACCACATAAGCAAAAAGAAAAAAGCCGGAAGTGGCGCTGTGGCTCAAGTGGTAGAGTGCTAGCCTTGAGCTGAAGAGCTGAGGGACAGCGCCCAGGCCCAGAGTTCAGGCCCCATGACCGGACCCAAAAAAAAAAAAAAAAAAAATCTGAAATTCAGAAATGTGAAAGACTTGGCACAGTCACCCAGTCGTATCAGCAAAAGAAAGTTAGCAGAAAAGTGTTTGATGTATTATTAAATAAAGTAGGTATATGTGAAAAGCAGAATTACTTGATTCCATTAAGTTACGTACTCAATAAAAAATATTTAAAATAAACAAGAAAGTTAGCAGAGCTTTGTGCATGGAGAGTGGCTTTAGCCCAGGAACACCTTTGCCAGTCTCTGCAGTCTATGATGAAAAGCTCTGTGTCATAGCATCTTCTCAAGACTAGAAGTAGCAGAATTCAGACTTTGCATAAGTCTGTGTACTCTGCATTGAAGATCCACACTATGTATAAGTGTATAAAAGAGAATTACCATGCCATCAAGATACCATCCTTGGACATGTATCCAAAGGGGTACACATCAAACATTTACATGTACATTTATTGTTCATAGTATCCAATCTATAGAAGCATCCCAAGTACCCTACAACATTCTTCCATTTGAACCACAGCTCCACTTGCAGCATTTTAGTAATTGAAAAGTTTCACAGGACTTTTCTGTCCAGGCTGGTTTCATACAATGAATGATCCTCCAGTCTAAGTCTCCTGAGTAGCTAGGAGAGCTGTTGGCACCTGGCTTATTTTCCTTTATAAATACTTTTCATTAGAAGTTAACAATAATAGATCTAGTGGTAAAGAAAAACAGAAGAATGAAGGAAAATACATATGTTTGTTATCAAACTTACATACAAAGTTCCTATTGAATTCCTTGTTCTTATCATAGGTTGAGATGGAAGGGCCATCTGTTATTTCTGTTTTTATAAAGTCTGGAGCTCTTGACTAGCATCTGAAATGATGCTTTTATGTATATTTGTGGAGGACTGCTCTTGGTTTATTTTGCTATAATTATCTTGTTTTAGTATTTCATGACTTCTCACATCTGCCTGTTTGTTTTAAAGTCATTCTACCTGTGTGATCACATCAATTCTCTTCTCTGAGTCTAGCTCTGGTAAACCAAATTACCACTTGGTAGTTTGCTTATGTTCTAGACATTAATCCTTTATTTCCATCTGCAGTCTTCCTCTTGTTCTCGCCTTTGGTTTCTTTCTGGTATTGATTTTTTAGTTCTATAATAGAAGTTATTACTTATTCAAAACTTAACTTGCTTATGTTCTTTGTGGATACTATACAAAGTATTTCACATACATAACTTTCAGGAAATTAGTTTTTGCTCAATTTTTCTATTGAGAAACCAAGACTCAAAGAGTTGGGGATGATCTCAAGTTCACAAAATTAGAAAGGAGCCCAGCAGGCATCCATAGTTGCAATCAGCACTGAGCTTTTGTCCTTCTTTCCTTCCCTAATTTTTATTTCCTCTCCTTCTGGAACTTCACACTGTGTTATTTTACTGGAAAGAAAGCTTGGATTTTCTTTTACTTATTCAGAGGCATGAAAATTTCCCATGTACTGTTTTTCTTCCCCTTTCCAACCCACTCTGGTCAGCCCTGGGTCATAATCTATGGATTTCTGAGGAATTTACATAGTCTCTAAGCACAACGAAGTAACAGGCTATGCTAATTGCAGCTAGAGGTTACAGGAATTTTCCAAGATGGTTTGCCATGTCAAATATGCCATTCTGTTATTCTCTTAAGCACACTTACACTATGTGTTCTAGCTTTGAGTTTAGAAAATGCATTTCTTCCAGCTTACGCTGTTACTTAGCCCAGACAGACAAGGTTTGTATAACTATAGTAACACTAATAAATCAGCAGCTGTAGGAAAACACGTTCTTCAGCTTCAAAGGATAAACAGCTAAATTTTCTAGATCCTGAGTGACTACTGGAACACATCATTTTGCACAAAATAAAATATTGGCACTTGGGAAGGATAACACAAAGACCCTGGCCCTAACTCTCTGGATTTTACTGCTTATGAAATCCTGTCTGGCACTCACCAAAGTCTGTCATTCCCTACTTCTCTCCATTTTATGATTTGTCTTTAACTCAACTATATTGCTTAGTGTGTTTGTTCCATATGTATATATTTATTGAATACTGACTATGTACAATGTCCTATGCTAGTTAGGAATTCATATACAAAGCAAATCCCATGTCAGCTCTCAAGGAGTGATACATGTGTGTGTGTGTGTGTATTATATATGTATATATGCATATATAATACATACACACACATACACAAAGAAAGTCCCACAATAAAGTAATTAATGACAGGTAAGAGCTCAGAATTCAGAAATTCTAGGAGATGAAACTAGCCACCAAGTGACCCTTCTATGTAGCACAACACAGCAGATGAGCTTGAGTCCATCCATATCACACAAACACTACCACTTAGTTCCTATATGAATGAAAAGCACTGCAGACAATTAAACCTAACCTTCTGACTCCTAGTGTTGTTCCCTCACCTTATCTGCATGAATTTTCCCCCACAGTCACTCATTCTTTAAAGACTGCTGTAGAAGTTCGTTTATCATAGAGATAGTCTGATCAAAGCTGGGTGCCGGTGGCTCGCGCCTGTAATCCTAGCCAGCCAGAGCAAAGAAAATCCATGAGACTCTAATCTCCAATAAACCACTCGAAAACCGGAAGTGGCGCTGTGGCTCAAGTGGTAGAGCACTAGCCTTGAGCTGAAAAGCTGAGAGATAGTGCCCAGGCCCAGAGTTCAAGCCCGACAAAAAAAAAGAAAAAAAGTCTGATCATATCTCTAAGTACAGACTCCTTTTGTTTGTGCCTTCCTGCTAAAATAATAGCATGTTAAGCATGTTATTTATGACTTTCTATCCACAATCACAATAACCTTTAAAAAACATGACAGGTAGCTATTGGCTTTCTTGGCTTAAAATGAGAAAAGAGATTTGATAACTTACCAAAAGTTAGCGTGTTTCTTAGGTCTGCCCAGATAGTGAACACAGTCTTAATTTGTGTGATCCAAGGAAATTGTACAGGAGAATAACTTCAAAGCTATTTTTTAAGTGGTGAATAAATGAATACCAAACCTGAGTCAAGCTCAGTTGATCTTGCAAGGTAGGAAAACATATAATTATGCCCACTTTGCAAGTGAAGAAATTCACTTTGCAGATGAAATCATCTGCAGATCCTAAGAATAGTAAGAAACTGATGTAAATGTCATGATTTCAACTCTACCACTTGTACATGGTCACCACCTTCTCACCCTGAGAGTCAGCAGCATCGTCAATGCCCTCTGCCTTTCTGTTTTAATACCCTTTCACAAATCCAGATACAGAATGGTTATGTCCATGTTAAAAATATGCTGAGTTTCCATGATTTTATCATTTTTGGTCTCCCATCCCAAGAACATCAAATTTTATATTCATTAACCACAAATAATCAATAGTCGTGCATTGTTCTCAATTCTAGGCTTTCAGAAAGCAGCTCTAGCTGAAAAGGATTTCCCTGTTACTGACCAACTGATACCAGATCAAAATATTTTGTGGGCTTATCCCAGTTCTAACAGCAAGTCACTCCTTTTTATAAAAAATATCTTTTATTTTATTTTTATTGGCATTGTAAAGGTGATACACAGAGGAGTTACAGTTAAATAAGTCAGGTAATGAGTATATTTCTTTTTGATCAGTGTCTCCTCTTCCCTTGTTTTCTCCCAGTTTTCCCCTTCCAATTGCCCTCCCCCACAAGGTATATCATTCATTTTCAGCATAGTGTCTAATGAGTATCACTGCTACATTTATTCGCCCTTTGTCCTACCATTTCTGTGCCCCCCTCTTACCCTCCCAAAGACAGATAAATGAACAAACAGGACAAAAGTAATAGAAAACAAAAACAACAACGAAGGAAAAATCCCTCTTGTTACTATCTTGGAGTTCAATTCAATAAACATCATTTTATATGACATATGCACATAGTTATGGAGCTTTTGTGATTTGCTCCTAAAAATATCCTTTGGTCTCATTGTATGAATATCTACAGTCCTGTATAACTTATCATGTCCAAGATACTTTGTGTCTTTCAACGTTTTGACTGACTTTTCTAGCCTTTAATAGAGTTTCACTTGTTACTCTGAGATCCAGTGGCTCAAGGATTTCTATCTTATATATATATATATATTATTTTATTTTATTTTTTGTGAACATACTGCACAGAGGGGTTACAATTACATGGGCAGGATAATGCATACATTTCTTATCAAGCATTGCAGCCTCCTCCTTTGTTTACCCTTCACATTCCTTCCCAGCCTCCCCCCAACTCCCCCCCACCCGCCCCCCGCACCAAAGTTGTAAAGTTCGTTTTTGACATGACAACTTGTACTTCTCATTGTTGCAACAGGTCCACCTGTATATTTAGTAAATAAAGATAGAAACAAGGATTTCTATCTTTATTTACTAAATTTATCTCAAAAAATTTCCACTGCTAGTCTTGAGTTTCAAAGCAATTTTACTGGGTATTAAATTTCCTATATGAACTTAACTATTTCTATTATTCAGAAATAAATATATACCAGAAATTCTCTGAGAATTAACAATTTATTTGTCAGATTCTGTTCTGGCTTTTAGTTTTTTTTTAAATTAGAAATAACTGTAGGCTGTGTGGTGAAGGACAGGGTTTGGAATCTATTGTTGTGTTGGAAATGAGGCTCATATGTAAGGTGCAGAAGAGCAAGACAAAGCTGCTCCCACCATGAGAGCTGCAGACCACAGACAGCCTGAAACTGTTCTCCTGAATATCATGGCATAAGGGTCCAGTTGAGCACAGGTATTTCATCATGGGGTGAAATACGCTCATTTATAGGCAAAAGTCACTTGTTCCTTCTTTCTACAGAAGATTACATATGTCTGTTGCCGCTGGAAGGTTTCTTTCTTTATACTCACACAATTCTCCAATGGCACCTAGCTCTATCTCCTTTAAATTATGAAAAAATTATGAAACTATCTACCTACAAAACATTAAATCTCACCGGGTAATGGCTTAGTCTTACTGGACTTCCCCAGCTGCCAGCAGTAGGTTCTCATCCACATTGGATTGATTTGCTGTGAATTGGATTTCCAACTATGCCTCCCTTGGTTTGCTTAATTTGGCAGAATGGCTCAAAAAATGCAGGGCAGCTCATTTACTGATTTGCGATAAAGGCTTTGACATAGAATGAAGGTGATCAGTCAAATAGTAGAGTCACATATTAGGAAATATGAGCCTCTGTATCTTTTGAAAGTGGACCACTAAAGGACCACCCCCAAATGTTCAGCCTAAGTTCACATCTTAAACATAATTAATTTAAATGTAAATGAATCAAACCCATTGATTAAAGAGTGGCTGAATGGATTGAGTATATGATTCAGTGATTTATAAAATACATAATGATGAAGAGTCAACTCAGTAAGAAGGCACAACAACTATATATGTGTGTATGTGTGTATACTTACATACATAGATAAATATATATATATATATATCCAAAATGCATAGACACTTGATAAGTCTGTGTTGAAAAACTACAATACTCTAATAAAGACAATACACTAATAAAAACTTTAATACACCACTTATAATAATAAATAGATTATCCAGACAGAAATTCAAAAAGAAAATAACAAAACTAAAAAAATACTATAGACAATGATCTAACAGACATACTATAAAAATTTTATCCAAAAGTATATAAAACATTCTCCAAGAATAGCTCACCTTCTAGGTCTCTCTCTCTCTCTCTCTCTCTCTCTTTCTCTCTATCTCTCACATACATACATAATATGATTGAACACAATCATATACACACAATAAGACAAATCATTCCAAGTATATTTCATAAAAATAATACAGTATAATTAGAAATACACAACAGAAGGAAATTGGAAAATTTCACAAACATACAGAAATTAAATAATGAACTTTTTATGATCATTGGGCCCAAGAAACCAAAATAAAAAATTTAAAAAGTATCTCATGTAGAAACCTTGAAAATATTTTTAAAAACCTACTGGCATTAACAAAAACTTTGATCAAAGACATAGGGTACAAAAATCAACATATAAGAGTAACTTGTAATACTTAATGATCACAAAAGGAATTTGAGGAAGCAGTGCCATTTATGATAGCAAAAAAATTAAGAATAAGGGCTGGGAGGGTGGCTCAGTGGTAGAGCGCTTGCCTTGCATGCTCGAGGCCCTGGGTTCGATTCCTCAGCACCACATAAGCAAAAAGAAAAAAAGCCGGAAGTGGTGCTGTGGCTCAAGTGGTAGAGCGCTAGCCTTGAGCTGAAGAGCTGAGGGACAGTGCCCAGGCAGAGTTCAGGCCCCATGACCAGACCCCCCCCCAAAAAAATTAAGAATAAAATAAGGAGGCAAAGGATTTATACACTGAAAAGTACAAAATATTGGCAAAAGGAAAGACACTCAGGGTTATAGATTGGAATTTTAGTATGTTAAAATGTTTATACTACTCAAAATAATCTACAATGAAGTCCTCAATGACACTTAAAAAATAAGAAAAAAAATTTTAAAATTTATATGGAACCACAAAAGACTCCAAATAGCTAAAAAAATTTTGAACAAGAAGAGCTAAGCTGATGGTATCAAATTTTTGTTTTTTAAAAATATATTACAAAGCTATAATACAAACAACTAAAAGGTCCTGGCTTATAAATAACACATAGATCAATAAAATAAAATAAAGATCTCAGAAATAAACTCAGACAAGCAAGGAAAACTGATTCTCACCAAGGTTGCTAATGGTATAGACTGAAAAAAAATACAGTTACTTCAAAAATTATCAGAAAAACTAGATGCAAAGGAATGATATCTGATGTTTATGCCATGTACAAGTCAACTAAAAATGAATTAAGGACTTACTCATAAACTTCCAAGCTGTAAAACTTCTAAAGAAACAGTGGAAAATCTTCTTGACATTGGCCTTGACAAGGATTTCTTGGATCTGATACCACAGCTGTGGGCAGCCAATGTGAAAATAGCCAAATGGTTCTAAGTCAAATGGAAATGCTCCTTCCCAGCAACTGAAAAGCCAACAAAATGTGGACAAGTTGTTTGCAAATGTCCACTACCAAGAATATAAATGGGGCTTGTACAACTCCATAAACCTGATTTTTACGTGGCAAAAGAAATAGGTAGTTTGACAAGAAATGTACTCACTACAATACATATGCGTCTGTAACACCTCTGTACATCACCTTCACAATAAAGTCCAATTTAAAAA